TTTTTTTATATCGTAAATATTCAACCAAAACACTTGAAATTAGGATTGGTGAATATTTATAAGTCATTAATTGTTTCCTGCAAATTTTATAACACGATACGTTAGATTAACCCGAATGTTTGTTTTCTGCAACCGACATGATGAACTCGAAAATAAAGGGGTTTCTTCTGTTTAACATTTTGATAATAATTTTCCTGAAATAGTTAATAATTTACATCATATTGGCGATAAAAAAAATCAAATTTATACTCAACAGTTTGCCACCAACAGGGCTATATCTCCCGCCCCTGTTGCATAATTTATGACATAATTAAATCTAAACAAACCCTAACCTTTTTTAACCAAGGTGGATCTTGTCATGGAAATTGTAAAAAAAAGAAGAGTTTGGAACCTAAGTCCATCTTGTTGCAATGGAAACGTACCAAAAATAAATTTCTAAATAGCAAAAGACACCGGTTCAGCATGTACCCGACAAACCTGCAAAGTTTCATGAAAAAATATTGAACGGTTTATGAGTTATGCTCCGGAAACGAACCCTACCCTCACAGAACCTAAGTCCATCTTGTTGCCATGGAAACGTAAGAAAATAAAAATTTCTAAATAGCAAAAGGCACCAGTTCAGCGTGTACTTGACAGACCTGGAAAGTTTGATGAAAACATATTGAACGGTTTCTGAGTTATGCTCCGGAAACGAAACGTGACGGACTGAGCCCATTTCTATATCCAACTTTGTTGGGCTGGGGATAATTAAAACAAAGATATCAGAGATATGATTATTGAAATCAATTTGCACAAATGTTACGATATGAAAAGGTTCCTTGCATGAAACGCAAACCACTTTCAATAACTCAATTCAGATAAGTTAAAATGTGAAACAAATGTGAAAAATATTTCTTTAATTGGCCCTTGTCTTATGAAGCACCAACTGTTTGAAATCACCCACCCTCTTTAGAGCACCTTATGCTAAAATAGATTCAGCAGGCAGGGGTAAGAAGTGTGAAAACAATTCAGCAGGCTAAAGGTTAATGGCCCGCATTCATATATGCGGCCCAGTACATTAGCTACTTCAATTGAATCTATTGAGTTTAATGGTTCAGCCTCTTTGTACCAACTAGCTACATCTACTACAGTTTAAGCATATTTATGTTTTGCGTCTTACCTTATCATGAAAAAGAAACGAGCAGCGGTAGAAATTGGCACTAGTCCTGTAGTCCTTGCCAAACTGCCCAATAGTTAAGGTATCATAAGGACCAGTAGAAATTTGCCACTTTCAAGGGTTTTGCTATATGTTATCATTATAAGGACCAGTGGACTAAAACTGTTACGTTTCTACCGCTGAATTAGTCGTAAGAAATATCAAACGTTTTCAGTTTGGTAAATATGGCTATCAATTGTTTCTTTCCAATTGTGAAGAAGTGTATACATACAGTCTGGTCTCCTAGTAAAATGAACGAAGAACTTAGTAAAAATGTTGAATATCACTTTGTCCGAAATATGAGGAAAAATAATAGGGAATAGTTTCATAACAATTTCGCTTTAAGGGCATGGCGATCCATGGATCGGCATCACATAATTTGCATAAACGTAAGACACAAATAGAAGTATTGTTAGGGTCAAGGTCTGGCCCAGGTGGGGGTGTTCCAGAATCCAAATCGTCTATACTACTGCTACTGACGACTTTGTCTTAGTGTTAAACAATGTTCAAGGTCAGAGTGTTTCCAAAATGTTTACAGCTATTACTATCTTGGCCTTATTATGCTGAGAATAACATGTTCACTAAGCATAGGCTATCAAACTTGTAAAGCCAAAGTTGACAGATATTAACCAGGAAATGTGCATATAATATCTAATAAAACTGATGCATCCAATGGGGCCACAAATAAACTCATCAAAAGTAATTCTGTTCTAGAACCCAATCATCTATCAGTGAAATACTATTGGTTAGGTACTTTTTTCAGACTTAGGTGTCACGATCATTGACACACGGAGAGATGAAAAAATATACCACTTTGTTATTTTAAAAAAACGTTACATGGGATTGACAAACATCTTAGACATTGGTGATCGAGTATTCTTGAAATGGCTAACCAATTTATACATGGAACTACAGCAGTAGATCCAGCACAAAACACTAATACTCTCTCTGTGTATACATTCTGTACCTCTTAAACTGCTTCATATACTTAACAAGTGACACCAGTATTTTAGTGTATTTTCCAAACAAGTAAAGTTTAGTTTTCAATATTGTAGTAGATGTATGGAATCAAGCCACAAAAACGCAACTTCTACAGAAAAGCATGCATTCCATGCAAAAGTCGACTTTTATGCAAGTCTGCAAGTCCCATGCATTTCACTACCCAAGACTGGGTATGAAAACATGTGCGTTAACGGGATTCCATATGCATTGTTTAGCATCGTGCTGACAACAACCACTCAGAAAAACAACAAAATTACGCAATTATTCAACATTACGAAATGCCACGCCTGTCCATTGGTATGCCTGAAGCAGGATCCAGTCAACATGATGTTGCAAGACAATTTAACGTCCACAGAAACACCATTTGATGTTTATGGCAACGTCGGCAACAGACGATTGCAGTCAGAGACTATCCTCGGAGTGGCAGGCCACGCGTAACCAATAATCGACAAGACAACTGGATTCGAACAACACACCTACAAAATCGATTCCAGCCAGCAACAGTGACTGCAAGAAGCATCCCTGGCCTTCGATGAGTATCTTCACAAACCGTCGCCTCAGATGTGCAGGGATTGTCGCCAGAAGACCCACCAGACTTCTCATTTTGACAGGAAACCACCGTCAAGCACGCCTACAGAGGTGCAGACAGCTTCTACGCTCGACGGGCATGCAGTGGGGACAAGTTCTATTCACTGACGAGTCTCGTTTTCACCTCAGCCACAGCGATGGACGGATTCGAGTGTACCGATGTCGAGGTGAATGTTACGTCAATCATTGTGTCATGGAAGAGATCGGTTCGGGGGCAGCAGCGTTATGGTATGGGTTGGGATTACAGCAAGAAAGAGGACCTGTTTGATAGTGGTAGAGAGAAATCGCAATGGACAGCGCTACCGCGACAAGATCATCTGCCCTGTTGTTCTACCATTTTTGCATCGTCATGGCCCAGGCATTACCTTTCAACATGACAACGCCCGGCCTCATATTGCTCGACTTGTTCAAGATTCTCTTCAACAAAACAATTTGAATGTCATCCCCTGGCCGGCTCGCTTCCCTGTTCCCTCACCAATCGAGCACGTGGGATGAGATGAATCGGCGCCTTCGACGTCAACCATGTGTTCCACATACACTCCAGGAACTTCGGAACATGCTCTAGCAGATATGGACAGATATACCATAGGACTTTGTGCGACGCCTGGTCCATTCCATAAGACAAAGATGTGTTGTCCAGAGGTGGTCACACAGGCTATTGATTTGTAAATTGACATTTTGGCATTGTTCATGTTTTTCATGAAATCACACATTTTCTGAAGTCAGTATGGCAAATTAAACCATTTGAAGACTTTCAGGAGTCTTTTATCTGTTGCAAACCGAAATTGTTTCAGATTTGGTAAAAAACATACCTTTGCATTAAATCTTATTCAATGTCACAGGAACTTTTGTTGTTCAGTATATATTAATCCATTAGAAATTACAAGAATGCCTGACGTGTGTCAATGAAATTACGTTTTACACACAGCCGCAGGGATAATTCTAGGGTGGAAGCCTTGTGCTTTTAGACCCTAAATTTGGAAAAAGGCCTATGTTTTCAAATACATTGGGGCATTTTAACATTGTGATGTACTAGCAAGTGCTGGTGTACCTCTGGAATATTTGAAATTTTCACATAAAGGGCCCATGTCAGATAATTCTTAGAATGAACCCTGCAACTGGATTTATCATCTGTGCAAGCGCAGAACTGCATGTTTTCCGCTAGCAGAGAGTCCAGCTTGTTGAAAACCCATACAGAAACAATCTATAGAAATCTAGCGCATGTGCACACAATGTCAACATGTCAGCTCACTATCGTCAACACATGAAGTGAATGGGTTACTGGTTATTTCCTCAAGTTGTGGTAATAAAAATTATGACAAGTATGTGTATTGATAGGGAAATTATCTGGGTATACAGCGATATCGACTTTTCGGTCACAAACCCCCAGGATATATTTTTCTTAAATCTCTGAAAAATACGAGGGTAATCGGCCACTTTAGTCTTATAGGATTTATGAGTGTTCTCGGCCATGATGTAGGGTCTTGACTCTCGGCTATTCGAAGCTCTAACCCCATCGACATGTCAAGCAATCTCCATCATTCGAATGACAGTTTGATTGGCATTTTAGAAGTCGTCGAGAAAATCGGGAGACATGGGCTACAGTACAACTTTATGGTTAGGCCTACAAATGTTGTGTTTTCTGAATTTGAATGACGTTTGACAAGAGAATAAAAGTTGATTGTAGTCATGCAATTCATAAATAATACAGATACAAAGAAAGCTAAGATATTTAATGAAGAGTTTTGGAAGTGGTGAAGTAGTAGGGCTATTGTTCACAACCGATGGACTCTCGGTCAGAAATAGTTCTGATTCCTGCGTAGCATTAGAACAATCCACCAATTATCCTTTCGCACATAAGACATCAGTTCAAGAACATATGGTGTTTCAAAATATATGTCTTCAAGGAAACGTTTGTTTCAATGTAAGCTTCGACGCGATTGACTGAAACAAAATTTAAAGATATTATATTCGCCTATCCATTATTCACCTCAAACACACTCCTAGGATCAGCGGAAAAGGAAGGGCGATAAAGGTCGGGCAAAATGAAATATATCGCGAATCAGACAAACTTGAGTTTTCCTTTTTGAAATATAGTGAGAATAATAATGTAAATTATACGGCATCGTCAACTGTAAGAATTGGCTTGAAATAAATATTTGTGTTTTTAAAACACAAACCAAATATTACAAAGGATTCGAGTGCGGTACTACAGTTGAAATACTTCCTGTAATTCGTTAGCAACTTCTGTGGCAACAGTAAACATTATGGGACATGAGCAATACATGCTCTGAGCTAGAATATAAATTGATCCCTTAAATGAGACATGACCTAAGACATTTACACTGGAGCAAGCGAAGGAATTACTCAAAATAATTCAAGGTAAGAAAACTTCGGGTTCGAATAGCGATCGACGATGCACAATGCTGTGCTGTTGCAAATTTTGCATTATTTTCTTTATTTCATTATTGCATAAACGTTTCTAAAGTATCTACTTACTCCATATTTGGATGTTAATATCGGTTTTGATACCTTGATTTATTTACTCATTATGCGAGGTTGGTTTGTACAGACGTACGATCAGAACCACGGAGATTCGTACCAACCGAAAACGGCAGAAGCGTACCTAAACTTCCCGTAGCGACTCGTTACAGATTTGGATCCATTCGTACTTTATTTGACTTACTCGTACACAGATTTGGATGACGTACATAAATTTGGATGAGCCTACATGGATGCCGACTTATTCTCCTGACAGACATTTTCATAAGATTTGAAATGAGCAGGTTGTTGGAAATGTGCGCTTATGACTGACCGCTGACTATAAACTTATGCAGAGATTTAGGTTAGAATATTAAATTTCCCGTCCGATGGTGTAAAATTAATTTCAAATATCTACTGTTTGGAAATACAGATGGTGCTGAGTGTTGTCCCAGATTTTGTTCTGTGTAAAAAAGCAAACATTGCCACCTTAAGCGTACACCAATAAAATACTGTGTGACAATTGTTTTGGTCATCTGCAGTATTTGGGTACCCATTTTGGGGGTTTCCGCAAGGAAACTGCTGCCTTCGACAGCTTCGCTTATATATAAGCACACACTCGCTAGCAAGCCGAAATCCTAAGGCATTTTTTAGCAAAAAGGACCCCAAAAATTAGCTGGATGTGAAAAGTATGGTCTAAACCTCCGCCCCTATTGGGGCTGAGAGTTTTATGATAGAAAGTGAAGCCAAATTATAGTGGTGTCGACTTCATGATGTTTATGGGCGGGACATAAATGACGTAAGACAGCATGTGTCTGATCATGTGACTTTCGTTATATGGACTCGTTGCTACGAAAGCAACTATGCTCATAACTTGTAAATTCATAAACTCTGGCTTGTACAAATAAAACAGAGTCGACTTGGAGTGTAGTGAAGACATCTTTGCACAGGTATGGGATGAATGATAATTATTTTGTTCAATACAGTATCAAGAGAGAAATATTTCAGTTGTTCTGTTGATCATTTTATTCAGTGAACTACATTGTATGTTCATCAGCCGTGATTACATGTATTAGAACTTAGAAGCAAAATGATCGTTTAAGAAAAACTGAAAAAGAAGCAGAAAAAGAAGTTGAATTAGGCCTAGAGTAGATGGATCCACAGACTTATATGACAGTCAAGGTGATATCAACGTCACAAATAATTTGTTTGAATGAGTAAGTATCTATTGATAATCATTTTCCTATGAAAATTCACATGCGTTCAGGAATGAACTGATTCATTGGAAAAGAGGGGTTCCGTCCCCCTTAACCCCCTGTATATTACTTTAAAAATGTCATAAAGGTGGGGTTGTACCTGCCTTGAACCCCGCTGTGGTGTCCGCCTAACCATATATATTGTTCTATAAACAGAATGAACTTACCATAGTGCGATTTATTTAAAAAAAGGGGGAGTTACACCCCCCTTTACCCCCTGTTTTTTACTGTAATATTTCGACAAGGGGGGTCATACCACCCTTGAACCCCCTCTGTGTTCTCTGTGTAAGAAAATATACTGAACTGCATACAGCGTTCGGTAGAAAAAATGGCGGCCTACAAATCCTATTCATTCGACTGTAAATAATGAACTGCGCATGCTTGGAACATTTTTCATTTGACAACTTCCGTAAAAACGTTTGTTCCAGTTTGAGGACCCAAATACTGCAGTCAATTTTTTTATTTAACAGCTTATGGAAATCGTGAAAGAGGAAAATACTTAATCTCAACGACTTAATTACAAATCAAATGGATGTGTATGCTTATGTATAACATTATAAATTTGATACGAATAATGGCTTGCTATCACAATGGCTGTTACCTTTTCTTATCAAGTGCACTTAATGTACTATATATCGCTGTGTATAAAGCAACCCCACATATAAGACGACCCCCTTGTACACGCCTCCAAAATCCAGGTACTGAAAATCTTGAAATTAATGCGTCTCCAAGTTAATACGACTGCTGGTCCCTAGCCAAAAATGCTGCAGGAATAGTTTTCCATAGCCTTACAGTTGATGGAATAAAAGAACACGTTAAGAGTTTTATTCTAGTATATGGAATCACAATATTGTCTGAATTTCTTAAATTATATGATACATTTGAACCAACAGTAGTAGTATAGGTAATGGTGATTCTGCCGCAACCCCACTGGAGCCAGATTTATATACCTACTACAGAGGGAATTTTTTATGTCAAAACGATGATGCAATTCTATGATCGTCATGAGATTAAACTAAATTGTAATGACAATATTCTCTATTATTTTTACTCATACGCATACCATTATTTTGAACAAAGTAATATTCAACATTTTTACTAAGTTCTTTGTTCATTTTACTAGGAGACCAGACTATATACTCTTCTTGGTAATTGGAAAGAAACAATTGATGACCGTATTTGGTTGGTTTGACAACACTGATATAATATATAGCCATTGCTGTTGAAATATGATCCTCAGTGCTGTTCAACTTTGCTTCGGCGAGTATCCGAATATTATCATGTTTTAATGCTTTCTTTTGCAACCTACGAGAAATGAATTTTATCGCTATTCCTGCCAGTCCTGAGACTCCAGCCGTTATTTTCATGCCAAGTACGATAGGCGCGGCGATTATAGTTGATAATAAACCAACACCCGCTACACCGAGTCCGATGCCAGCTGTTACAAGCGCAGGTCAACTCCGTCGAGAGCATTCACGGCTCTGCAATACTTTTTATACAATCCAAGTCTCAACTCCCTCTCCTTCTCTATTCGATGTTTTATGTCACTTATTTGATGTAATCGAAATCCATCAACAGTATCCATCTTTTCATCGAGCGCTGGCTGGATATAAACCCATAGTGTATATCATTATATCATATAATAGTCTTTAATTGGTCTTGCTTCAATGTTTTGAGAGTATACATCAACCTTTTTAATGTATATTATACGGCATGAATATCTTAGTAAGAGAAATGCTGTCACTTTTAATAATTTGGACCCCCTCAAGGGTTGCAACGTGTGATACTCCCATATGAATAATACTGCAACGTTGACGTTGGTGTTTCTTTAGCCATTTAATTGATAGACCTGGTAATATTTCGAAGGCATCTTCTCGTGCATCTCCAAACAAGACTTCAATAATAAGCGTATAAAGATTAGGTACTTCACTCAAGTTATCTTTAATATCATTGAATTCAGTAACCAAATTTAAACTAACATTTTATACTCCCGGACGACTAAATAACATATAACCTGTGTTTCTGGCAGGTGGGTGACTAACACACTTTTTCGTTTTGATGGAATATAAGCCCCGAGTACGACCCCACTATTTATTATCTTAGTTAAATTATGTGCCTTACCCGTCATCATATGGTGGGGTAATGACGATATTCAGTAGCCACTCGATTTTTTCTTCGATCAAAGTCCATTTATTATCATCGTTGCGAGTAAGATTGTGCGAAGTGTTTTTATTGAGTCTACTAACGTCGACATCGCTTAAATCTCCTAGATTACCTGTGAATGTAACTTCTTTCCGCTTGTATACATTATCTTGTAAGTGTAAAGCGTATAACTTACCATCAGTACCGGGTTTACCGAATCCTTCTGTGTCTCCGAGATCGGAAAGCGCAATTGTATTACATTGTCTGAGTGTTCCAGGGCCTGATGAATCAACCATTATTTATAATATGGAGTGTTACATTCAAGTATCCTATATGTACAGGTTGATGTTTTACATCTAATACAGAAATTTTGAGGTCTGAAATAATACCCCGCTTTAATTTTTTATATTGTAATGTTGAGAAAGATTCCGTTCTACCTCTATTATATTTTTCATCTTTGACTGGAATAGCTCTCAGTAGAGTTGAAGGACTTTCCAGTTGAATGTTATCCGTTGTACTGATCTGATCAAGATGGATGCACAACTCTTTGTACGGAACTAAATTAGGTAATTTAAATCCCCCCAATGTTCTGTTGGGATGTATTGTCATCGATGGTAATCTAAGCGTATCTGCTGAGCCCCATCCCAAAAGTATTTCCTTTTCTCCAGCGCTTAAACTCAGTATCCCATCGGACTCACTTTGTGTGAGACTAGCTCCCAAAGGCTTAAAAAATTCATCATTGAGTGAGCAAACGCTGTAAAACCCATCAGGTATATTAAGATATTTGTCAATAGCACTGTTTTCAGTGATAAATATCTCATAATTACCTCTCACAGCACTTATATTGGTCCACCGCGGGTAATATGTTTACAGCACAGAGAGCGACTTCAAGTTGTCCATCCGAGTTATCGATAGTATGAAGCAGTTCAATAGACTGACCATTTGTTATTCCCGGGAGTGTAACATACATATTAAATATACAAAGATACCATATCATAACTTAAATATGAAATCAACTTACATTACCAATCAGTCGATTTGCTAGAAAAGCACCTTCCTGCACCCAATTTTGAGTTGATACCGTTAATGTTTTAGCTTAACTGCAAGTCTTGTGTCTCATCGATGCTTCTCACAGCGTCCGTATATGTACGTTAACAAGTGTGGAATTAATCCAAATAACATCTGTACTCAGCTTACTTAATTAGTAGTATAGGTAATGGGGGTTCTGCCGCAACTCCACTGGAGCCAGATTTATATACCTATACCACCACTACAGGGGGAATTTTTTATGTCAAAACGCTGATGCAATTCAACAATGGTCATGATTATCAAGTTAAATTGGCTCTAGCTCACCACTACCTGGAGTCAATCAATGATACCATTATTACAAAAACAATGATGAGACTAAACTAAATTGTTATGACAATATTCTCTATTATTTTTACTCATACGCATACCATTATTTTGAACAAAGTGATATTCAACATTTTTACTAAGTTCTTT